CTGTGAAGAGAAATCACCTCTTCTCTTGTCTTCCTGGACCATTCTCTTGCCTTCACCATGTTTGTAACCACACCAGTAAATGTCTAGAAGGAGCTGAGTATCACAGTCATTTTTAAAGCTGCCTAATTGGTGCTTATTATGCTTGATTGCTGCTCGGTGACATCCACAGGTGTTTTCAATACCTGATGGAAAGCACCTGTATGAACCTCTGTTCTTCAGAGTGGTAGTCTTTAAGGGGTTGAATAATTGTGGCAATGAAGAAACCACATAAGAACCATTTACTACTGTATTACATAAACAATTGATGTCATTTTAGTTGCATTTGGGTAGTTACAACGTCCTTGTAGGATTTGATTCTGAATACAATTCCAAATGTACACTATAGTCCCTAAACCCCTTTACAGCATTGGGGGTTGAATAATTTGGCCACAACTGTAGGTAAACCAGGCCCTCGATTAAATTCATATGGAGGTCCCTCCATCAACCTCTGGAAAGTGGCAGGTGCCCTGGATATGCCTTGGTGCCCAGTGGGCTTATGAAAGAAATCTTCTCTCTATCTTCAGGTACATAGTAATTTGGTAATATCCACTCTTCAAATCCAGGACTCTAAACCATTTGGCTCATGACAGACGCTGCAAAGCATCTTCAATCCAGGGGGTTGTATATTGATCTTGAATAGTCTGCTTATTAAGAGTTCTATAGTTGATGCACATCCGCAAGATACCATTCTCCTTGCTGACTACTACAATAGGAGAGGCCTAGTGACTTCTTGATCCCCGAATAATCCCGGCCCTCTTCAGCTTGGCCAACTGTTCTCTGATATCCTCCAACGGGACTCGTCAGGCCTGCTCTTGAAATGGCTTGTCTTCCTTGAGTCAAATCCTATGTTAAGCACTCTTGGCGCACCCAGCATCATAATCATTCCTGGAAAACACTCTCTCCCAACTTGTTAGTCTATCTCTGGCTCTCTTCTTCCACTCCTCTGACAGAGGGGAGTCTTGGAGGCCAAACTCTTATTCAACAAAGTCGTCAGGTGTACTAACTGGGGTGGCTACATTCACTTGCCCCAACAGAGCCCATGCCTTCAAAGTTATGGTCTGCTGTGTTGTTACAGACTTGAACTAAAACATTACCCTTATTGTGCTGCCTCCACTTGAATGGAGACCATTGGAGATGTGCCTACTAGCTCGTCTGGGAGTCTCTCAGGTTGCCGCTTGGCACTTCTGGTGTGGGCTTTCCCAAATCTAGTTGATCTCTTCCATGGAGTTGGCTTTTCCAGTTTCCTGGAGTGGTGTGAATTGGTTCCTCACAACAAGGTCCCAGTCAGCAAAGTTGGGAGCTGACTTGGCTCTGGGGGACAGATAACAGTGGAAGTCTGGGTGGTTTTGGTCTCTAAAGTTTGTTTTCCCTAAGAAATGGAGCTCAGAATGTTCTTTAGGCCCTCAGCTTGCTCCTTCATGGATGCCCCTGCCGACTTTGGGAAGAATAACCTTTTTAAAGTTTGTATCACATCAGTGTCCTGGTTCTCCACACTGAAAGCAACATCTGGGGTACCAAAGGCTGGGTTCCCTCATCTGGCTTACATATCTGACATTGTTTGCACCATGGGCAGCACAGTGGCTAAATGATTAGCACTTCCGCCTGGCAGTACTAGGGTCATTGGTTCGAACCCCAGCCACGGCACCTCCTGCCTGGAGTTTGCATGTTCTCCCTGTGCCTGCATGGGTTTCCTCCGAGTACTCTGGTTTCCTTCCACATGCCAAAGACATGCTGGTAGGTTAATTGGCTTCTGTCTAAATTGGCCCAAGTATGTGTATATATGAATGTAAGTTAGGGACTTTAGATTGTACGCTCCTTGATGGTTAGGGACTGATGTGAATGTACAATATATATGTAAAGCGCTGCGTAAATTGACAGCGCTATATAAGTACCTGAAATAAATAAATAAATACATTTCTGACATGGTTTCCTGCATGGCAATGTGAGCCTCCATAACCTTTCCCATTGTCTTTTGTAATTCACAGAAAGACTGTTGGATCATGGCTTGGGCCATGAGCCAACTGGGACAGAGTCTGCACTATACCATCCAAGGAAGCCATGACCTGCGCTTCAGGCACCCCCTCTTTGTTTGAAACAGCTCGCGCACACTCCAAAGGAAGGTGACAGAGGACTGCATGTGTTTGTGCATGTGTGACCTCAGAATGAGGTTTTGTCATGCATTTTGAAACTGTGTGACTGTCATTGAGAATGTAAACCAACTCTGTGTATGAGGGCCCCCTGAACCTGAAGAGCCCTGGGCCTTCCCAAGGTCTAAATCTGGCCCTATGCACAGGCCACAGACCTATATGGTGTTGGTAAGGGGTAAACGGTTCCCATATCCAAACTCTATGGTTCCACCCACAGCAACTAATAAAAAGAGGAACCAACTCCATCAAATAAAATCATTGGGGGACAGGCATTACTAAAAGGACACTATACCCTACACCTGACAACAAGCTGCTTTCATTATTCTAGAGAACAAAAGATAAAACCAAATTAGTACCAACCCCATATTTTTTATTATTTTCAATTGTTATAAAATAGGACTCTAAACACAGTGTATCCAATATTACCTACGGTATTTCCTTCTTGATGGAAAAGCAGTATAAATGTATTATAGTATCCAACTCTCTATTGAACGATGTGTCTAGGACGAAACTTTCACTATACTGGGCTGGAGGAAAGCACAGCTCACCCAGGGCACAGCTGAGATCAACTTATGATGCCATCCTGTTTTTGGCATTATGACTCATTGTTTTTCTTGATTAAGTCCCACAGCATTTCTATTCTCAGGAGAAGGTATACACAGAAAGTCAAATAACTTAGCAGTTAGAAGAATAAAGGTAAAACATTTTTTTTGTAACTGAAAAGCAAAGTTCTTTAAAAATTGCATTTGGTGTATGCCTATGCAGTCACGTTTGAAAGATTAGCTCTTAGTGCTGTATGTGCTAACAAAGAAGCTTTGAAAATCAGCACGCTGGAAGTCTTCTAAATGGCCCATTATTGAAAACCGGTCAAAAGAGGGCCTGATACTGCTCACCATCTCTATAATGGCAGATAAAACACAGCAGGCTATGCAATCTAAATGTAGTGCATATCGTACATTAAAAAAACAGCAAATGGTAACTCACATAAATTCAATAGAAATATGCTTATCATCAATCATAGGGTCCAGGTCTTAGCAAAGGCAAGGCATTAGGGCATACACACCGGACTGGCTAATGTGCAACAGTTGAGAAGAACATCAGGGGGCGCCAATCTAAGTGCAGTATAATAGGTTATGTGAATAGCACAAGACAACTGGCAACTCACTCAGAACCAAATGAAAATTGCATGTAGTAGAAGATATTGGTGATAGTAGGTCCGTTTAGCTACTGTCTAGGTCAAAATCCAAAGTGCACATGATGCTATCTGGATTGTATACAGTGTCCAAGCAACCAGGAAGCAGGAAGAAGAGGGACAGTGAACTGCAATTGGACTGAAAGTGATGTTAAGTGGCTATGAGTTTTTTATGCCTCTGCCTTTTTTCCTTGAAAAAGAAGTTACTGCTTCCTGGTTGCCTGGATACTGTATAGAATCCAGATAGCAGCAGTGTGCTTTGGATTTTGACCTAGACAGCAGCAGACAGTAGCAGAGTGAGTTGCCAGTTGTCTAGTGCTATTCACATAATATACTGTATTTGTCAGGGAATCCCAGTGAGATGTCTGGTAAGCAGATATGCGTATGGTATTTCCCAAAGAATGGCTACCAGGCGCACGCATGCACCCAAGAATATGCTCTTGCACACGTGCACAGACGTGCACATGGAACCGCACATGCACAATTCTTGTTGGTGCCAGAGGGGCTATTTAAAGGATGCTCATGCCAATGTTTTATGCTGACTGATCTTCAGCTGTTCCCTTTGTCCTGCGCTTATTCTGTATGATTCCCTTGTTGCTGACCTAGCTTGCTCCTGACCTGATCATGGATTCTGCTTCTGACCTGTCGCTAGTTCTTGACCCAGCTCTGTTTCTGACTTTGGCTTTTGCTTATGATTTGGTACCTTGCTTCCCACCTGTTGATAACCCTGGCTATTCCTGTGACCATGTTTCTGTGTCTGATCCTGGCTTCCAGTCCTGTTTGAGTGCTTGCCTGGCTGTCTGCTGCATCAGCTCTGTACATTGCTGAGTGTTCCTGCCTCAAGTCTGCTGATAGCTTTGACAATCCACATGTCCTGAACCTGCAGCACAAGTGGAGTGCCCCTTTAACCTGGGCTAGACTACTAAACACCGCTACTGTCCATGATCCATTGGTTCACCAATCTTCTTGGAACCGCATCTGTTGCTGCAAGGTCTCCTATCAACATCTGCCAGAACTTGTGTTCCTCCTGTCCCTTGGTACCCTCTATTCCACTTCCAGTGGGATCCTGGACTGAAGATACAAGAGAGACCGACCTCGTCAATTCAGTCTCCTCTCAGGTACGTATTATGCTGCACTTACATTGGTGCTCCCTGGTGTTCTTCTCAACTGTTACACTTTCTACTTTTGCCAATCCTTTGTGTATGCCCTAATGCCTTGCCTTTGCTGAGACCTGGACACTTGATCAATGATAAACATATTTTTATCGATTATATGTGAGTTTCTATTTTATGTTTTTTTAAATAAATGTATGATATTCACTACACGTAGACTGCGCAGTCTGCTGTGTTTTTATCTGCAGTTACAAAACAATACACGAGGGATTCAAGAGCCCTGCTCTTTCGAGCTTACAATCTAGGAGGGAGGGGATAGTGGTACAGGAGGAAGTGGCTGTGGGGGATGGAGTGGTAGGAGGAGTGGAGGAGATCGGCTGTTAGGTGAGGGCGGGGTAGGCTTCCCTGAAGAGATGGGTTTTCTATATGCAGTAAAGTACCAAGTCCCAAGAGCTCTAGTTATCCCTTTTTGCTATATCAAATCCTATACTGCAGACCATCTGCATACCACCAACTCCTGATCAACATACACTATATTGCCAGAAGTATTGGGACACCCCTCCAAATCATTGGATTCAGGTGTTCCAATCACCTCCATGGCCACAGGTGTATAAAATCAAGTACCTAGGCATGCAGACTGCTTCTACAAACATTTGTAAAAGAATGGGTTGCTCTCAGGAGCTCAGTGAATTCAAGAATGGCACCATGATAGGTTGCCACCTGTGCAATAAGTCCATCCATGAAATTTCCTTGCTACCATATTTCCACGGTCAACTGTTAGAGGTATTATAACAAAGTGAAAGCAACTGGGAACAACAGCACACAGTGGTAGGCCATGTAAAATGACAGAGCGGGGTATGCGCATGCTGAAGCGCACAGTGCGCACAAGTTGCCAACTGTCTGCAGAGTCAATAACTAAAGATCTCCATACTTCATGTGGCCTTCAGATTAGCACAACAGTGCATAGAGAGCTTCATGAAATGGCTGAGCAGCTGCATCCAAGCCTTACATCACGAAGTGCAATGCAAAGCGTCAGATGCAGTAATGTGAAGCACTCTGCCACTGGACTCATGTTCTCTGGAGATGTGTTCTCTGGAGTGACTAATCACACTTCTCTGTCTGGCAATCCGACAATCCGTGTCTAGGTTTGGCGGTTGCCAGAAGAACGGCACTTGCCTGACTGCATTGTGTCAAGTGTAAAGTTTAGTGGAAGGGGGATTATGATGTGGGGTTGTATTTTAGGGTTCAGCTTGGCCCCTTAGTGCCAGTGAAGGGAACTCTTAAGGCGTCAGCATACCAAGACATTTTGGACAATTTCAGGCTCCCAACTTTGTGGGAACAGTTTGGGGAAGGCCCCTTTTCTTTTTCAACATGAATGCGCACCAGTGCACAAATCAAGGTCCATAAAGACATGGATGAATGAGTTTGGGGTGAAGGAACTTGACTGGTCCTGACCTCAACCTGATAGATTACCTTTTAAATGAAGTAGAGCACAGACTGCAAGCCAGGACTTCTCGTTTGACATCATTGCCTGACCTCACAAATGCGCTTCTGGAAGAATGGTCAAAAATTCCCATACACACACTTCTAAAACCTTGTGGACATCGTTCCCAAAAGAGTTAAAGCTGTTATAGCTGCAAAGGGTGGGCCAACTCAATATTGAACCCTACAAACTAAGATTAGGAGGCCATTAAAGTTCATGTGCGTGTAAAGGCAGGAGTCCCAATACTTTTGGCAATATAGTGTACTTGTGTTCATTCTTGTGGAAAGTAGTATCTTAATGAAATCAGCAATTGCATACATATTGTATTTTGTTTATTGCATGTTTCTTGAAATTAAGAGGAAAAAAGTTAAAAGGAGACTTGTGCAGCCTCAAGGATAGCTATGAGAATGGGCATTGCTCTATTTTTTTGTTGCAATCAACAAAGGATCTACCCCTGTATATGTCCAGCTTTAATTTGGGCATGTGATAGGGAGCTGTTTGTAAAGCCATCCATACATGATTCGATTTCCTTTCCTGCAACCCATGAATTGCTGGATTACCCCATCAACGCAAACAGTTTTGATCCTGCAGAACTATCGTGTTCTATTAGTGGGGATCCTTCCTGGCCAGCAGAACACAATTATTACTACTAGTGGCTATAGCCACTGATAGTAATTGCATGTAAAACATCCGACAAGCTGGGTACAATCAGCCTACCCATAGATGGATCGAATCTTGGAAGGTCCCTGTTGAACTGGCTGAGATTTGATCCATCTATGGCTGGCTTTTAACAAATGTTGCAGAAATAAAGTGCTGTAGTAGGTCAGATACTTGCACGCTATTTGTGTAATTCGTATTGCAAGAGGTAAGGTAGGTGAATTAAGTTGCAGTAATACAGTATTGCTGTTGGTTGATCCAAAATGGGGTTTCCATTTGCTGTGCAGAAAGCACCAAGAAGCTTGATCTGTGCTAGTTTTGGAGGGCCAATAACTGATGGTGCGGCAACAGTCACAATGACATAGAATTGAAGTGTTATTGGTGACTTTACTGAGCACCTCCTAAAAGAGCAGGATGTAGTAGGTACCAGACTTTCCAGAAGTAATGAGAAGATATACAGAAAGGTCTTGTAATGTCAGTCTTTGAAGAACAGAATTTGCAAATTTGCTACTTAATTTGCATTAGGTAGTATTAATTAATTTTTCAACCACACTTAAGTAGTAATAATTATTTTTCAACCACTCGACTTCAGGTTTCTTAGTTATGAGGTCTTGGCATCTCACTGCTCTTGTTCGTGCAGATCTTGTTCTATCTTCACCTGTGCTCATGCTATTGCTTAATACAGGGGAGAACAGCACATAGTGCCCAACCCACACTAATTTTCCTTGTAACTTCTATATGGATATACCCATGGGTCCTGCAAATAGTTGATCAGGAGAACAAGAGTTTTCCCCCAATCACCAAGCACACCTATGATACCTCACAGTTGGTGAATTCCAATACCTACCAGGCTTTAGGTTGCCAGTGCCCACAGCGTATAATTATTTTGCTTGCTTTCTACAAAAAAGAAGAACTCAGCCAAGATGATCGGTAGTATTCTAATGGCCGGTACATAGTGAATGAGAAATGCTACGTGGCCACCTACAGCAAATCTCTGTAAGTGAGTTCAGTTTAGGTTCCTAGTCAAGTGACACAAATGGGGAGACATCTATACTAGATTGATTGGTCATCAAGTTGGGTATGGAGAGCAGGGCCTGTATAACCAGTGTACATAGTGCTGACATAATCCAACTAAATGCAAGTGTGCTGGTTTAATTTTATTTCGATAAATGGTATAACAATCTCTAGAGTATTTCTGTCTTTTTCTGTACTCTGTTTCTGTCTTTTTCTTTACTCTCTGTAAACTAACAATTCTTTTTTTAAATCATTTTTTATCAGCATTATATAATATAAAAAGTTCTCTAAAACAAATGATGTTAGTTAGGTTTTGAATACAAACCAGTTCAAAATCCAATTTGATTATTGGGGTGTGTTGCAGGCCTAATGAAACAGGTCTATACAGATCTTTACAATGTATATCATTGTGTACCAGGATGGGCACAAATGTTGCCCTCAGCTTGGCATTTTATTATATATTTTTAATTTTATAAACATGTCATAGAATAATATACCTCAGACATATTAGTATGAGTGGCAGTAAGTTTTGAATATTCCGTTTCTGTCATGTTTTAGAATATAAGGCAATGCATATACTAACTAAACCCCTGTTTTTAAATGCATGTTCTTAGGCAGGTTAATTTGGTTTTTGATAGTTGGCTAACTGGCTGGCAGTTTGAACTGGCTTTCTTATCCCCAACTTTTGATAAGTTATACTTATCCATGTTCCTTGCCGACAATAGCCATTATTAGACTGGGGTAGGCTGGCAAGTTGAACTGGATAGTCCTATTTTTTACTTTGTGACGCCTTCCATGTTCACTGTTTAAAAAGCCAGTTATAGACCTGGGTAGGTGACCAGTTTTTTCTTTTTTTCTTTGAATGCATATAGTAATAAATATATGTAACTGCAGTAACCAGTTAGATTGTAGTTCACATGGGTAGATCTGTTAAAGTGGAGCTGCCACTTTAGGAAGCTGCTGACTGAGTGACTGCTGTAATGTTTGAGAAAACTAAATAACCACTACTATGTTACATAAAACTACTGGCATATCATGTCATACTGTGAAGGATCACTGTCAAGCTTTTTTTTTGTTTTGGGTAGAGTGGAGAGGGATTAAAACACTTGTCAGTTTTTATTGCTGTCTGTGCCCCCCATTAAGGAGATTCATCCTCTTTTTTTAATCTGTTTACCATTATCATTGAAAGTGAAAGTAAAAGAAATCCCACATTTTGGGTTGTCCCAAAAAATATAATAGAGGGGAAATCTTCCGATGGGGACACTAGTCCTGGTGACCTAAGGGTCACTTTGCAGGAATTTCCACTCACTTCCTGTTTGGCTATGGAACAGGAAGTGAAGGAAAATCTCCGCAATGGGACACAGATGGTGAAAAAAATCTGACAGGGTTAAAACCCTCCCTTGCTCTATCCAAAATGAAAAAAAAGTTTTATCTATAGTTTTACCTTAAGTCCTACCATTGTATAAGTGACTGTGATGGACCACTGCATGGCAGTTATGTTAAGAGTCAGGAGTTTTTTTTATTAAAGGGGGATTCTGATAAGCTGCCCACTGACAGACTCGCACAACCACCTGCCAGGGTTGTAGGGAACAGGCCCTCCTCCTCATCAACATGATGACAAGGGGGGCACACTTCCTGACAAGGTATCTCCACCATGTTAAAGGCGTGTGGCTTGGTAAGGTTCAGGAACGGAGGGAGCTGCACAACATGCTGTTGGATGTACTAAAGCAAAAGTGAAATTTGCCAAGCAAAAATTATACAGTTTAACCACTTGACCTTCAGATGATTTACCCCCCTTCATGACCAGGCCATTGTTTGCTTTTTGGCATTGAGTTACTTTAACCTCCTTGGCGGTATTCCCGAGTGTAGCTTGGGGTAACATTTCAGTACCAAGAGCGGTAACCCCGAGCTACACTCGGGAATACCATGCGGCACTGCTCCGGCATTTGTTCTTCACTTACCTTACCCTGCGCTCCCACGATGTGTCCCCTGCAGCGTCCCCGGCCATCTCCTTCGGCCGATGCTTCTGTGTCCTGTCCCTGTGACGTCGGGACGTATGGGCGCTGCCGGCGGCGGGAAATTTAAAAATTTTAAATAATGTCATTTTTTTTTTTTTTTACATTTTACATAGTAAAACATTGCTGTCTCAACCAATTTCACATACATTTTGTCCCTAGTGCTTTGTCCTGCGCCCCGCCTGCATTTTGTCTGTTCTTTCTGCCTGGAAACTGAGAAACGTCCATGGCGTCCAAAAAGTGTCCCTTTAGGTCAAAAGCGGTTTAGAAGAGAACAGCGATAGTAAATCAGAACCACTTGCAGAATTGAGTGATAATGATTTGTGGGGAAATTCGTCATCAGACACTGAAAACGATTTTGCGACTTTGCTCAGCAATGTGCGAACTTATTATGGCGCTATATTTCAAATTTCAGTGTTTTTGGTTTGATTATATTATTGAATTAAATGTATTATTATTATATTATTATTTTTTATGATTATTTATTAAATTATAATTTATGATTTTGTGTTTCAAATTTTATCATACCCAGGATGTTTACTAGACTCTTGTTCGGACAGATTTCAGTGAGTTATTCCTAAATATTACAGCCTACAATAAAAAAAACTACATATTTCCATGCAAAATAATGGAACCGCTTTCAGGACCAAAAATCTGAAATAATCATACCGCCAGGGAGGTTAACTGACAATTGCACTTGTCAATTGCAATTGCAATTGTCATGCAATGCTGTACACAAAAAAATATTTATAAGTTTGCCCACAAAATGAACTTTTTTGGTGGTATTTGATTACCACTGGGTTTTTTATTTTGTACGCTATAAGCGAAAAAAGACAGAATATTTTGAAAAGCAAACAATATTTTTTACTTTCTGCTATAAAGCATATCTAATTAAATAATTAAAAAATCAAATTTCTTCATAAATGTAGGTCAATATGTATTCTGTTACATATTTTTGGTTTATGCAAACGTTTTTGCATCTACAAACTATGGTATGTATACTAGAATTGTTAATTATTTCTTTTTATATT